CAAGAGCCAAGCGACCAAGCAGCAGCAGCAGGTACCGAGGAGGAGAAGGGTGGAGTTGAACCCCGCGAGGGGGGGGTATAGTCCTGATATATCAGGTAACAGCACTCAGTTCCTGGGCTCCCACCCTCCTTGCTAAAGCAAGACAGACTCCAGCTAGCTACAGCTAGCTTTCGTGATTATTAATTGCAACAATTAACAACCTCCCGATTGGTTTTTCCACCTTCCTTGGAACCAATATTTTGGCAATACTAACAGCCTTTCTTCCCTTTCTTCAACCTCACTTTAATTTCACCAATCCCTCATATCATATGGGCCTATTGCAATTCACATTTTCTTCCCCTTCTCAAACTCCAAATGGCTCCCAAGAAACCATTTGCTCATGCTGGCTCATTGTTGGCTCATGCCTTTGCCGTCGTTCATTCTGTGAAACTCATTGGCCTTGCCCTCAGCATTCTTCTGGATCACCTTCTCCATGGCATGGTCACTGTACTCTGCAAGTTGCTGTGTCTTCATGGCAAGTGCCCCATTGGTCACAGCCACCTGCCTCATGCCACCTTTCATAACCTCATATACCCTCTCCCTGACAGACTTAAACCTATGACTGAAATCTGTATCAGTCAAGTGCATGGCAGCAGCCTGAACCTAGCCACAAATCCTCCAAAATCATCCAGAATACCAAAGCCACTCCCAAAAAATCACAAAAATCACGTTTAGACCACTCTACCCAACCAATTACTTTTTCAATCTCCAAAAGCCCAAAACTCCTCTGTTCCTTTGGGATCTCTCCTCATGAGGAGATTTAGTCTGTGGGATCCCTCCTCATGAAGAGATTTAGTCTTGGAGAACCTTAGGGAGGGTCATTGATAATGGGTTGTCATTAGGCTTCACATGACTTTGCCGGGCTGTCTCTGGCTCCGTGCAGTCAAATGATGTGGGAGCAAGCTGCGATGCTGATTTCCATGGCTTTGGATTTGTCCAGCGCAGTGATCGCAAAGTCAACAAACTGAAGCAAGTGCCTTGATGACAGACTCAATCACTGGACTGTGGCTATGCCAAACTGTAAAATGTGCAGACTTTTAGCTAAAGTGAGTTGGGCCCACTTGGGTTGCAAAATGGCAAACCCGTTTATTTCACTAAGAGCTACGACTTTAGAGGGGTGCGCCATAGGCCTTTTCCTTTTGTCCCATGCAGCACAAAGCCCCGTAACCTCGTCCAATTCAGTACAGCTGCTCAATATGTAGCACCATCCAATCCAAATCATCTCCTTCCTCATTTCCATCATCTTCCTCAAAACCTGCTCAGCAGGCTGAGCCTTCTTGCATCAGTGTCAGAACTGGTCAGCTAGAGTTGAACGGGGCGCTGGGCCACTACGAGCCACCTCTCCGCAACGCAGCTCGGAGAGCCTCCATTCCCTGGCACCCCAAGAAACATCAAAAACAAATCTAGGGAAACTTCTTGGACAACCAGTCCCAGTTGACAGTTGACATCTGCACTATACAATCTCGCCGGCAGCAGTTGCATGATGTTGCACGGTCATGTGCGCTCCAGGGTACGGTGGTCAATTCGGTCCACCCGGTAACTGTGACAAATTCCAGGTCCGTCGAGGCCAGGGCTATGAAGCACTTCATGGCCACGGCCAGTGGACAGCCAATTGTCACTAGTGTCCTGGTGCCTTGAACTGGTGTTTTTTGTTTTTCAAACACCTCCAATTATGGAAGTGTTTCTTATGCCATTGATTCCCGTCCTTCTCTGTTGTTAAAAGGCTTGCGCTTCTCCATGCTTGTACTTGCCTCTGTATATACGTGCTTGTATTTACCATGTCTCGTACAAACTTGATGGCCGCAATGCCTTCGTCGTCTACTGCGGCTCGAGCTTTTTCAAACTTGTCCGCTGCCTCTTCACCTGGCCAAATGCAATCGCAAGCAAAAGTGAAAGGGATGCTTTCTCCCGGTCATGTGTTTGTGGAACGTCCATGGCTTCTTTGCGACACATTCAGGGGCTTAGTCCAAACTTGAGGCGACGAAAGCTAGCATGTGCAGGGGAATGCCTTCTTCACATGCAAAAATGATGTGTGGGCAAGCTGCCGTTCCCAAGCTCAAAGGCAGTTTCGCATCCAATCACTTGCCATAAATTTGCTAAAGCAAGAGAACCTCCAGCTATAGCTGGCACTAGCTTTCGTGATCTGTCACAAACCTTCAACCCGTGAGCTATGCCGTGCCAGCTCAATAAGCACCATGGAATCTTCAAACCCGTCTCACCCGCCCATTGAAGCGCTGGCAAGCCACAAAGCTTCGACGATGTCTCAAGCATTTCTTTCCATTGAACTGCTCCATCCAGCTTGCAGTTGGCCATCACCCTGCGATCTAAACTGTGTTGCAGATTCGAATCCCTTATGACCTTATGGATTACGAGCAAACTATGAAATAGCAGGACATGTGATGCATCCTCATCACTACGCCTCTTCATCTGCAAGGCTTGAGCTTTGCCCCAATCACCCCAAGCAGAACCCAAGTCGGGATGGCCCCATTGCTCAACACATCTCTGCGCCTGGACGGGCTGCAGAGGCTCAACCTGCTAGATTCTGCCAGTCGCTGGCTGTACAGTGCAATTATTCAATTTCAGTTTTGAACATACATGGTATGGATGAATAGGATCTAGTTCGCACCACTACGCAACAATTGTATGACAAATAAGTTTCTGCGACAAATTCAAGAATGTAAAAAAACACTTTGCCGGCACTACTCTGCGAAGATTTAGCCAAGTGCTGCCCCTGGAAAGTTCAATATCTGATATTGCCCAAAGCCAATCTTAGGAAGCATACGTCCACAACTCAATAACCAAAGCCATCTCAAATTGCCTGCCGCCCGCCCGTTCCACTGAGCACCTCTGCAAAGTGCTGCAACGCTTCGGACAAGATCAACGTGTTGGTGGAGTCCTCAATGATGGTAACATGATGTAAGAGGTAATTAGCAGGTCTTTCAGATTTGTTTACAGATTCTAACGCCGGCCCGTGAATATAATCTTCAGCCCTTCTGACTTCCCACTCCCCTGTCCTCCTCCAACTCCGCTGCCTGCACGAGCAGCCGTCCAGCTGCCAGCGCCGACAAGTAGCGGAGTTCTGCGCGTTTGGAGGTGTCCAGCCTGGCAGCGAGAAGAAAACGGACACAAGTCTTGCGCCGCCTTAAATATACACAGCAACCGTGCGCTCAAAGTAAGTAGGGGCGGGAAGCCGAAACGAAAGCAACAGGAAACATGATTCAAACATCACAGTAAAGTCTTCAAAGACCTTCTTCACGTTGCAAAGGTGCGCAAGTAAGAACCTTGTCCTTACTGGGGCCAACCAGTTGACGGGTCCAACAGGACCAACGGGCATTAACGACAGGCCCGAGCGGCAACAGGCCCCCGGCCCCTCGGGCTGACAACGAAATCAACATCCATGTGCTGCTTGGCGTTCCTTTATCACCTTTGAGGGGTCTGGGCAACAAGCGAACTAAAATAGTTGCGCATCTTGAAGTTATATATCTGCTGCGGCGGGTGTCTGGAAAACAAACGCCCTGCTCACTCAACAAATGATCAGAGCGTTTTATTTAAGACACGGTGTTCTTGTCGGCCAGGCTCTGCCGGCCCCTCCCTCCCTCGCTCTCTCCATTCACATTCGGGCTTTGCGATTGCCCCGCCGGCGTTTCACCTCGGCTCCTAAGCTGTGTTTCTCGTATCCATAGTCTCATGGACGATTGGGTGGCTCAGGGGCTCGCATCTTGATGTGTTGACATTGAGGCGCATTCTCCAGGGTCTCGGGATCACATTTCTCTGAGCACCTTGCATCGGAGTGCCCTGCATGGGGACTACTGTAAGGATGCTGTTTGAGGACACTGCCTATGGTCTTATTAATGGTTATCTTGTTGGCACTTATTGTCTGCTAACTACCGGTGGGTGAGAGATTTGCGTTGCCTAGCTACCGTGCTGCCAAACACAAGCCAGCAACCGTGCTCAGACGTCACCTTCTCCCGAAGGTGCTGTCTTCGCTCAAAGCTTTCTGCGCAAACCCCTTTCGGGAGAAACCTGCTTACCGGAATGGCCTGACAAAGCCACCTCAAGTAGCCAGCGGAGTGCACACCGAGGAACATGAGGGAGGCAGGGTAATCCAAAATTAGTCTCGTGGTATAGAAAACCAAAGCACCAGGACAGTTGGTAAACATCTGCAAACCAACAAAGGTTATAAGTTATACAAAAAAAAGGTACCTTAAAGGACCCTAAGGAGAACCTGTGAGATAGTCTGTAGGGTTCTTAAACCTCTGTTGGAACCCAGGCTTCGTTTCGAAGACCCCAAATACGCACAGAGAAGCACTCGCAAGTGAAGGCATACTCCTTGTGACATTGGGGCTACCGGGCTACCTATATAGTTTAAACTTTGATAGATGTGGGTCTCACGAGCGACGGGCTGTCAACGGCCTGACGGGCCGACGGGAGCTAAACGGGTCTTCCACGGGACCTTGACGGGCCCAACGGGCCGACCCCAGTGGGTGCTGTGCCTGAAAAGTGGCAGGCTGCCAGGCCGCCAGGCCCGGCTTTCTGCATATGACAGATGGTGGAGTAACACGAAAAAGAACAAACCGATTGCAAAGGAAACGAGAGTTGCAAACACAGTGCAAGAGAGGCAAGCTCAGCAGCAGGAGGAAACAGGAGGCAACCAAACCACTTCGTGCAGCGAAGCTATTCGGCTGAGAAGAATGATTCAGGAACATGACAGCATTCGGCGGTTTAGCTGCGCCCTTTTCTTGTCAGGCTGAACGGATGGAGTAACTGAGTAAAGCTTTGCATCTCACCATCAGGTCATCTGGATAAATCCACCTGGTAGCAGCTCTGCACCACACTCCTGGAAGGACCCAGCCCGGTCTCGTACAACCTTTCCAGGCACTGAGTACCAGTACCCGCTGCACTTCTGAATGCGTGATGATCCGCAGCAAAGTTACCGCCCGGGCTTTGTCTTCAGGCTGCGGCTAGCGCATCTGCAAGTATGCAGCCAAAACCCCCACGGCGTTCCTTACGTTGATGAGGCTCTAGTCAAGCGACAAGCTGAACAGGTTGAAAGCGCTTTGACAAACCATCAAACGACGTCGCCCGCTAACAAATGAAAAACAAACACCCTAGGAAAATTTGTGGACAAGGCGCGTAGCTGAAGAGAAAATGATGGCATAAACATTGAACCAAAAGGTATCCTCCTTCTCAAACCATTTTGGAGCTTTTCCTGGAAAAGCAAAATGGCAGAAGCAAGGATTTGCATTACAGTATGATTTTCTTGAATTTGCTCGGAACTGTGAAGAATGCCGGAATGACTTGTGCAAAAAGGCAGCATCCAAAAAGGTGTGATGAGCGACCTCCGCCAGCATCCCTCCACATCTTGCGATGGTAAACGATCGCTGAACCTCATGTAAATATCTGATAATTGTGTTGATTTGCCGATTGCTTTGTTGTTCCTACCGAGATGCCAGTTCCAGAAATCTGACTCCAAAGGCCCCAGAGCTTCTTCGTTACTTTATACTCTCTGTCGCTCCAAGACTCGTGAGACTACACAGTACATGAGAGACAGCAACCCGGTGCTTGTCAAAAAGGCTCCGCAAAGTGGCAAAAGCCCGTAACCAAAGGGAACTTGTGCAACTTGATTTGCATCCTGCCCAGCTGCCATTGTAAATGAACAGCAGCACGTGCAGGAAGAACAGCTCTTGAACAGCCTGGTCAAGCAAATCAAACCACGGTCCAAACGTTTTCCGTTTGCCTTGCCAAGGTGCATAAAGCAAAGCTGCCATGATGCTGATAGCAGCAATCATCAAGTGCAAGCAGCCTGTCAAACCACACTCGTGACTTTCTGGAGTTGTATCCTTTGGGTATGTCCCTGTGGTCGTGACAATCGAATGCCCTTGTTCTAATTGTTCATGAAAAAATCACTCAAGGCCAAAGGGTGCTGCATCACATTCTGCGCTCCCATGGGGATCTATGAGTTTTTGTGCTGGTTGTTCAACATGTACATGTACTGTAATGTAAGAATTGTATCCCCCTCGCATTCCTTGGCAGTGTGTGCCTTGATGTGCCATCAAGCACCATCTGGCAAAACCGCTGCCGCTCAGTGCCGACCGCTCCTTCTCTTGCAACATGGAAAGCCTCACGAGCAGCAACAGGCATCCTATTGCAGCTGCAAACTGACTAGCCCGCTATAAGGCAAGAACCTTCTGGCAAGCGATAATCCGACTTGAGGCCAGAGGGGGTGAACGAAAGCTAGCCGGGCTTCCGGTGGTCTGCTGCTGGTGCTGCTGCTGCTGGTGCTGCTGCTGCCGCTGCTGCGCTGAGCGCTGCTGCGCTGGGTGCTCTGCAGGCGCCGGGTCGTCTGCTGCTGCTGCTGGCGCTGGGTGGTCTGCTGCGGCTGCTGCTGCCGCGGCGTTGGGTATGCTGCTGCTGCTGCTGCCGCCGCTGGGTGGTCTGCTGCTGCTGCTGGTGCTGCTGCTGCTGCGCTGGGCGCTGCAGATGCTTGGTGTGCTGCAGCTGCTTGGTGGTCCCGCTCACCGCGCGCAGGGGGGAGTCGAACCGCGGGGGGGGGGGGGTCCATAAGATTGATTTAATCAATTATTTGAGGTTTCTGAGGTGCGTCCACCCCGTCACTTAACTTGCTAAAGCAAGAGCAACTCCAGCTAGCTAAGGCTAGCTTTCGTGATAATCATTACATGTCAAAGCCAGCCACGGAACATGGTGTCCTGTTGCCACAAAAGTGGAACACCTTGACCAAGGGCGCCAAGCGCAGTTAGAAACAGTGCAATCCTTAGGCGAAGGGCAAACCCCAACTCAGCACACATGACACCAACATCAGAAAGAACTTCGTACTTGATGCAGCACGCAAAGCCAATAACTAATACAAGTCCCAAGTCCCAGTGAACCAGTGAAAGAATTGTTCAAGCGAGAGTCTGGTCCATCATTGATTGGCAGTGGAAAGAACTGGGCCGTTGACTGCAATACTGCTTGAGCAGCTTATGGCTCACCAACCAAAACCCGTCGGCATGAAGGGCCAAACAGGAACATGAAAGAACCAAAAACATCAAAAAAAGGCATCAATGAACAGTTAAGTCATCCGCGCTGGTGTCGCAACATGCCCTAGCTGTCACAATATGTCACGGAGTACACACCACATCATTGTTGGCAACGACCTGTGCCCCTCCCGAAACGTGATTTGGCTGTTGAACCAAAGGACCAAAAGTCAGCAGTTGTATAAAAACAAAGGGTATTAAAGGATATAGTGCCTTGGGGGAGTTTGAGGTGTGCTTGCTCGGAAGCAAGAACAAAGTCAAATTGTTCAGAACTTCCAGCGCCTTAGCACAGCGCGGAAGGCATCAATGGACGCCGCCAACCTTGGCTTTGGGTTTAGGATCCCAGCAGTTCTGGGTAGAATCTACAATATCAAACTATCCATTGCATCCAATATTTTCAAACATTGGTATCATTAGTGTAAAGGATATGACGATTGCCATCATGGTGCTCAAACTCTCTCCACTGCTCCCAAACTCACACAGCAACCCCACCCAGTCAAGCCTTCCAAACCCTCCTGACGGGTGCGTGTTCGTTCGGCGGAATGAAACTCATAGTCGTTCAGCCCCGTGAATTCAATTGGCCTTAGGCTGGTACAGCTCCTCGCCACCTACGCAGCTATTTGCAAACACAAGTGGCATACATCTTGAGTCATGAGGCACTTGCAAGGAGAGCCATTGGTCTGGGCTATTCTGAAAAGGCACCCAGGGCCTCAGAACTACTCCGCTTATATCTTGAAGTCTTGAACTAAATCATTTTCAGCTGTCGCGCGCATCATTAAGGCAAAGGGCGTGCTCGAACACAAAAGAAAAAGGAACAGGAACAACCGCGCAACCCTTAGATTCCGATACACTCAATCAATACCCAATCCTTGCCCGCCATTCGTGTATAAAGATTCTAGAAACGTAAGACGCTTTGCAAAAAGAACATTACATCGAGCGATCCCCACCAAAGGCAATTTGGAAGGCAGGGCGCATGTATTGACAGACTCGCCTGACAAAGGCGGACGCGGATTGAAACGTTCTGACGCCTGTTCTGGCATCAAGTCTGTTTCGTGCACTGATACATCATCTATCATAAAGGCTGGAAATGTACTGGGCTGTGTTCTAACGTCCTTGTTGGTGTGTGTTCTGAACTATTTCCTGTCTGATGTGCCATATGCACCTCCTTTGGCCCTGGTACTCCGGCACTTGTTCTGCCACCAAAAGAAGTCTCCACCTTACAAATGCAAACTTGCATTCTAACTGGCATAAACTCTGACATTCTATCTTGCTTTATTCTGACATTCTATCTGGTATACAGTATATGACATGATGGCGCTCTGTCCGGCAATGCCCACGGCAGTTGAGGACTACGATCTGGAGCTGGCAGTTGAGGCGGCGAGGAGACAAAGACAAAGGAAGTGGGAGTGGGATCCTACTCTAAAATCTAACAACCTCACCTGACAGGCGGGGAACAATAGGCTACTCTTACACAGAACCTCACAGAACCATTTTCTGTTCGAGCAGCCAAAAGGCACAAAAAGACTAGTGACAGGAACATTCTAAGCAAAACTAAAGCAAGCTGAAATTGCAGTGCAAAGATACAATACAAGGAACAAAGGCGAAGAATTACCACCACGCCATCACATACATTGAAGAATGACAAAAGCGCTTTGCACAAGTGCAACTCATTATCTCTAAAAAAGGAAAACAGCCCTCTTAGCCGGCCTAGCAAGTAATATATATATATATAAAGCATCGAAATTGTCACAACATGTCACAACTGCAATTCACAACACGGCCACTTCTTTTTGGCTCAGTACACCGCTGGTCATTTGACAGGCTTCTCTGGAAACTGACTCCAATGTGTGCTGGTTGAGTCATGCTGGGATTTTCATCTTCTCTCGCCTTCCACTTGCCAAAGCTCGGAGGCCGCAAGGCCCAAGTTAAACCATGCCACCTGCTTCGTGGGCAAGCGAGTGCTTGCCTCCAGGAAACACTGATAGGCCTGGCACAGTGAGCAAGTGTCTCAACTTCATGGGGTGAAGAGCTGCTAATCCATTGAACAAACACAACACTATGTAGCACTATATTATAGTGTGTCACAGCGCCACTAATTACTCTCCAAAGTCCATTTATTAAAAGGCTTGAAGCCCGGTGGAGCAAAAACGTTGCTGATCACAGCCTCACGAAAACGCTTCTCAGTCAGCAAAGCATCTCCCTGCTCGAGAAGCTCGTCACCAACTGCGTCACCTGCTGAAACAAATGTGGTTGCCTATTCATGACTGTTGTGTCGGCATTGGACCGTGGTGGCTCATCATATTGGTGGCTGCACGGCATGTCTATGTATTGTCCCCTGCCATTAGATTCAACAACGCATTAACATGGGCTTGCATACTTACTTGCCGCACGGCTGCAAAGTGAATCACAGCTGGAGGCAAGCTGAAGCAGTACAAAAACTTCACTGTCAAAGCCTGCGGCTGGCCGTGGGGCTTTCTTGCCCATCGCGGTTTCGACAATTCATGATTCAAGTTCAATGTTGGTTACCAGCTTCAGGCTCATTTGTCATTGCATTGTCGTCTGCTCGGTGCGTTGGCTGCTTGCAAGGGATTCTCCATTTGCGGGTTTAGGTTTCTGCGCTTATATAAATGCAAACTTGCACCTTTTTTCCAAAGAAGGATTTTCAGCTAACTGGTAGTATGGAGGCTTCTTCACTCTTCTAGTGCCAGAAGGCGTGCTGAGGTCTGCTATTCTGTAGTTTTGCATGACTGGCCAGGGAATGGCTGACCTTGGCTCTTCTGCAATAGGGATGTTGAGAAATGCGAAACGGCGTGTCTGTGCTTGTGGGCATCTGTTGAGCAAAAAGGTCGGAGGAACCCAAACCAGGGGTCTTGTCAGGCAGGTCTGGTTGTTTGGGGTCCTCATCGATGTCCAGAAAGGGCAAGCAACTGAAGGTGCCGACTGAACATACATGGAAAAACAATTCAACACGTGAGTGAGGGAAACCATTTTACAAATTGAAATCGTCATCCTATGTGAGTTTAATGATCCATGCGAAAGGATACTCTTTGTGAATTGAAAGCTGTGTGTGAAACTAACACTCTATGTGAACAGACTCCAGGTGAAATGGGCACTCGAGGTGGAATGGCAATTCAAGACTCAAGACCTTCATTTCACATGTATTTCAGCAACTATGGACACCTCCCTTGCTTGTACAGTGTGATAGCAGTTGTACATACTGTTTTATCTTAATCTAGCCATCTTCTTCATTTTCTATCTATTCTACGTTTCTCACCAAGCACGACCGGGTGTCACTTCCCCCTTTTGCTTTAAGATGTTTTATATAAGTTCATAATTGTTCCTTTGCACATAGCATTTTAATCGCATAGTAGGTTTAGGGCCAATGGCCACCAAAGGCATCGCCAAAAGTGGCTTGGGTGTTGAAAAAAAACACGTGACGGACATGAAGTACCTATTCAATACTGCCAGCCAGCTATTTGCGGAACACCTGCATGCTGTACCCGCAGCTCTTATCTCATACAAGAGGGGAAAAGAGTCTCGGCATGGTGAACTCTGAGATCCCTGAGGTAGAGTTGACATGAAACCCAGTGGGGGGACTAAACACAGTGCGGGAGCACTGGAACCATACTGGAGGAACAAACAAAAACTGCATGGTTGCATGGGTCAAAAGCAAAAAAGGAGTGACCGAATGCAACATGTTTGTCCAGCTATATTGCGGGTCTGGCTACACATCGCTCCCAAAATCGAGCTACAGTACAATTGCCAAGTACGGGAGTGAGGTCCGGTCAAACTTGTGAGAGCCCGCGGTGGGGCAATTGAAACCAACCAAGGAGTCATGCAATTTGAGCACCGTGAGGTGGACGGACCAGGTGGACGGTGTGGGTTGCAAGCTGTCTGTTGCTCTAGTTCTTTAAAGATGCATGGTAAACATCAAAAAACAATCAACCAAATGGCAGCAAAACACCACCACTCAGCTATGGACATCACTCACATTCTTCGTTGCAAAAACCATTGCAAAGGTCCAGGTGT